AGGGAGGGAGAGGGAGTTATTAATATGAAAGAGACACAATAATCGGTTTCCTCCTGCACGTGTCCCAACCGGGGCCAGGGATCGAACCTGCAACCCACATATGTGCCCTTGACTGGAATTGAACTGGAGATCATGAGCAGGCCAACGCTCTAACCACTGAACCACACTGGCCAGGGCAATATTAAGTGTTTTATAAATTTCTTTTTTTTTTCTTTTTTTTAAAAATTGATTTCAGAGAGAGGAAGGGAGAGGGAGAGAGAGATAGAAACATCAATGATGAGAGAGTCATTGATTGGCTGCCTCCTGCCAACTGGGGATTGAGCCCTAAACCCACGCATGTTCGCTGACTGGGAATCTGAACAGGCAATCTTTTGGTGCATGGGAGAATGCCCAACCAACTGAGCCACACGGGCCAGGGCTGATTTAACATTTTAAAAGCCCTCAGTACTGGTCTTTGTGGATTGGGCTTTCTTCCTCTGGGCACCAGCAAACCCTCCTCTAAATTACCGCTATCACACTCCCATGTGATATTGGGTGTGAGCATGTATAAGTGGAGAGTCTCACATGTCTAAAACAGTTAAGAAAGAGTGATATTCTCCCATTCTCCCTTCCTTCTCTCTCCCGACCCCCGTGTTTTAAGATGCAAAGTAGCCCACCACTTGATAGAAATCTTTTTCTGCTCCCAAGAGCTAGTTTTCCCCATTTAGAAAGGGTGAAATTGTGCAAATCTTCTGCAGTAACAGCACATAAAATGTAGTGAATCTGGTGTACATATAAATTGTACTTAATTCCAAGCCGTGTATGGTAGAGAACAAGACGAATACTAAGAGTTACTTAAATATTTGTGTCATCAGGAAAGAGAAAAATGTGGCAAAGGAAGCATTTGGAGGCCAAGAAGAGTTCTCAGAATTTGACAGTGGACAGCAACAAAAGGAAATGAAGAAAAAAGGATGTCAGGATCAAGAAAACCAGAAAGTGCTGTTACAGGTTTGCTGGGTCTGCACTTTATCAGGGGATGAGAACTAAGTTATAAAATTCAGTCGAAACCCAAAGCAAAAACCTGCTTCTCCAAGAAAGATGAGCAGATGCTGCCTTCTCTGGCTGCAGTTTTGCATTACAGTCTAGCTAATACCCCACATCGCTGTAAGGCATTCTCAGCCACCCTTGGCAAAATCCAAGAACGTTTACCAAGGGAAACAAAAGCAGAAAGCAGCAAATTCTAGATTAGTAGTCCTTTAGTTTGTCTACATAAACAATACTGCAGCTTGATTTCAGGAAATCCAAACCACTCACACAGATCAAGCTTCTTAGGTGAGTTTTCCCAGTCTGCATTCCGTGGTGACATTCACAACTGCACACTACATCCCCCCAACAGATAAAAATGACGAATAGCTCTAAAAGTTTAAAGTCATCAAATTCACCAATAAGAATGTCTCACCCATGTAAGTTCAAATCACCATGTAAATAATTCCCCAAATAGCTCAGTTGGAATAGCCTAATTTACATTCCACTTCTAGTGTATCTTTCATCAAAATCAGTTAGATGTTACATAAATGATAGTATGCATTTGCATTCCTGGGGAAGGTACCTTTAAGAATCCTCTTGGTACTTTTGAGAGGAATAAGACTTTTGGCTCCTGTTGCTATGTTAATGGATACCTACACACTCACTCACATTCTTTGAAACTATACTGGTCTGATGACCACTTTTAATGATAACCCTGAAGCCCTGGAGGGCACTAACACATGCCTTCTAAATCCTCAGGATAAAAGTTAGCCTAGTTTTGTGCATTTTAGCTAATGCTTTGAAAACTGCTAATCCATATATGTTATGTAGGCCCTCTCAATCAAAAGGCTACCTTCTTTTAGCTAGATAACAATTTACTTTTTAACTCTTCAAACTGGTGTTGTCTGATGTCACTCAGATATATTGAGATGAAACGTTTTTATATAAATTTTCTAGAAAGGAGACGCCAATATCAAAGCTCGGGAGGAGGCCGACAAACGCAGGAAGGAGCAGGAAAAAATTATGTTACAGAATTTACAAGAAAGATTAGAAAGAAAAAAGGTATACTATCTCTCTATCTCTGTCTCTGTTTTATGGGTTTGATTCTTTGTAAAACAATGTTGGGCACAGGATATCAAAACATGTATTTGAAAATCACAAATAAGCCCTAGGTGGTTTGGCTCAATGGTTAGAGCGCCAACACATGGACTGAAAGGTCCCGGGTTTGATTCCTGGTCAAGGGCATGTACCTTGGTTGCTGGCTCCGTCTTCTGCCCCAGTTGGGGTGTGTGCAGGAGGCAACCAATCGATGTGTCTCTCTCACACTGATGTTTCTCTCCCTCTCTCTCTCCCACTCTCTCTAAAAAGTGAAAAACAATGGAAAAAATATCCTCATTGAGGTTAAAAAAAAAAGAAAACCACAAATAAGTGACCTACCAGCCCCTGGTTGTTTTCCCACTCTACTCTTCCTTATCCAAAGATCTGACCTCTCCTACCTATAAAGGTCTGCTTTTATTGACCATACGTATCCCTCATGGAATAGTGGTGACCATTACAGTGATGCCTCACTATAGCAAACCCCTGGGAACAAAGTTCCTTTGAACAGAATTACTCTGGCCTTGGTAGGGGGTGATGGAAATCAAGTTTTCTTCTAAACTGGGCTACAATGTGCAGGTCTCTCTGAGAGGCCAAGGTGCAGGCTTTTAGTATGCTAGGACCTCACTTTGTGTAACTCATGTGCCTCATCTGGGAGCAAGGAAGCGCCCTGGTCTTGGCTGAGCGCTGCAAGGCCTGTCAGATCCATCACCATGAGGAGACCAGAGAGCTGCAGCTCTCCTCACTTCCAGGGAAAGAAGTGTATGCTGGAAAAATCATTCCTAGCCCTCCTACATGTGGACTCTTTCTGGTAACAAAAGCTCTGACAGTGTCACATCATTGAGGTACATTCTTTTCATTAACATTGACCTCCATCATGGTCTGTTCAGACTGAAATTATCTTGTTTTTAATCTTCACCCAAGGATATTTTTTCCATTGCTGTTCAGAGAAAGTGGGAGGGAGTGGGAGAGAGACAGAGAAAGAAACATTAATGTGAGAGAGACACATCAATTGGGTGCTTCCTGTATGCACCCTGACTGGAGCCAGGGATCGAGCCTGCAACCAAGGTATGTGCCCTTGTCCAGAACCGAACCCGGGATTCTTCAGTCCAAGGGCTGACGCTCTAACCACTGAGCCAAACCAGCCATGGCTAAAGTTATGTTTAAAAGTTTTAATTGGTTTGCAATAATATGTGCTTAGTCTAAATGATGCATTTTGAAGTCTGCAAAATTAGGAGTGAGGAATAATTTGGATTTTCTGTTACCATAAAAAGTACAATTATCACCACCCAGGGCATCTTTTATATGACTGACACCAGGACTCAACTGCTGCCCAAGGTCTTGTGTCTGATCAGAGTGTGGCTTTGGAACAGTCGCTGATATTATCCACTTCTGGAAAATGGAAATAATCAGCTTTCTCAAGACCACTGTTTTGTTGTTTTTGATCTGTTTCCATGTTTGTAATTTTATTTTCCTTTAAATAGAGAATTGAGGAAATTATGAAGAGGACAAGAAAGACAGATTCGGATGCCTCAAAGGTAGTTTCCATGCTCCTACCAGCAGTGTATAAAAATTCCTGTTGCTTCACATTCTTTTTAAGTTTTGCCAAACTGGTGGTTATGAAATAAAGTGTCACATTGCGTTTTCCTGATAGTAAAAAGGTTGAGCATGTTTTTCAGATCTTTAGTTATCTTTCATGTTTTTTTCTTGTGTGAAATGCTTATTTCGGTCTTTGGCTCAGAACTTCTGGGCTGATTTGTATTTTTCTTACTAATTTGTAGTTCTATAAATGTTCTAGATTCTATTTCTTTCTTGGTTATGTGTGTTACAGGTAGTTTCTCCTACTTTATTATGGCTTTGCCTTTTTAAATACCATATTCATTTTTACATTGTTGAATTTATCAGTATTTTTATGACTAATGCATTTGGGTGACTTTTCATATGCTTATTGGCCATTTGGATATTTGGTTTCATGAATTGCCTTTTCTTTTTCCTTGTTTTAATTGATTTTTTTAGAGAAGGAAGGAGAGGATGAGAGAGAGAGAGAGGAGAGAGAGAGAGAGAGAGAGAGAGAGAGAGAGAGAGAAACATCGATGTGAAAGAGAAACATCGATTGGCTGCCCCGTGTAAGCGCCCCAACCAGGGATCAAACCCACAACCTGGGTATGTGCTGGGACTGGGAATCAAACCCGTGACCTTTTGGTGCACAGGACAATGCTCCAACCAACAGCCAGGCCAGCCAGGCCGTGCAGTGCCTTTTCAGTTCCTTTGCCTGTGTTTCTATTGTGTTGCATGCTTTTTTATTGCTCGGTAGTTTTTACCTGCTTTGGTTGTGAGCTCTTTGGATATATGTATTGCAGGTATCAGCCCCAATGCTGTAGTTTGCCTCACACTCTCACAATGTTGTGATGAACAGAAGTTCATTTGCATGAACTCAAAGTTAGCAGTTTCTTCCTGTATAGTTACTGCTTTTGGTATCTGTCTCATGAGTATTTGCCTACCTCAGTGTCCTGTCTTTTGATGGATCACATGCATTCAACGTCTTTTTTTCTCCAACTTCTATGCTGTTAATCCTCTGCTATAAAACTGTTTACAATTTCCCAGTTGTGGTCATTCATATCTTTATGAAAATTTAGAATAGAAATACGATTTCTGAAAAGTTCTGGGCATCACCATCTAGCACATTGGCCTAAGAAGTTTAACTCCAGTAGCAGCCAAGAATTTTTTTTAGCTATTCAGTCGGCCTTACCTTGGCTTAGTTCGAACTCAGAGTGGGCAGAGACCACATGCTAACCCTAAGCTCATGTCCCTTGGCTCCCACTCAGGGAAGTCTTTCATTCTTGAGTGTCTTTACCTAAATTAAAGACACAAGTAGGGCTATCTGTCCTGTTTCCTGTTATGTTCTTGGGGCCAAAGAGTTGAGATTTTTTTAATCTTGTAATTGAAATGATGAAAATTAGCCACCAGTCCAGCCTTGAAATCTATCTTCTTTGAAGTAATTAAGTCAGGATGATTGGATATTTAGATGTAACCATGATTTTCTTTTTTCATCATAGGAGGCACAGACATCCAGCAGTGACACTTATGAGGAGCATGAGGCAGACGATGAGGATGAGTCAGAAAGTGACGACGCGGGTTCTTTTGATGTCGCACATCCGTCAGGTTCACTTGCGTTTTGAGTTTTGTTAGTCACTGTTTAAGAGCTACACTGCCCGGCTCATCCAGGGACTCCTTCGCTTCTGAGCTGTGTGACTATGGGCAAGCTGTGTAATCTCTGCGTGTGCTCAGTTTTCCTGTCTAAAAAAGGGGAAGCTATTGTTCTCCTAGGTTGGGCACAATATTTCAATGAGATAGTCCATGTAATGCAAAGAGAAGAGTACCTGACACATAAACTCTCAATAAACATTAGCTGCTGAAAGACTGTAGATGGCAGCTCTTTCTCAGCTGACTGTGAGGCTTACTAGCATTTCATAGCTCATGACTGAGGCATCCATGACTGACTACAGGCAGAATACTACTTTCCACCTCATTGAGAAAAATTAAAGTCATGTCATGATTATGAGTGCTCTCTGAAATGTATTATTGATTCCCTTATGAGTATTGAAATGATGAAAATTAGCACTTTATGGCAGCAGTAATTGGCATATGAAAAAACACCTTTTGTTCATCCTATATCCCACAAGTCTGGTCCTCTGCTAGGTATAAGGATACAGAGATGAAGAGACAGGGTCCTCCACCTTGAGGAATTATAGCCAGTGGGGAGGCAAACATACAGACATACAAACAGTGATACTGCCACAAGCTGGTCGCATTAAAAGAAGTTTGGCCAAAATGCAATGAGAACATAACAGTAGGAGCAAGGTAGGTGTAGGGTCTGCCTTAGGGCACTGGAAAGGGTAGGAGGTAACTGGAGGTGAGACTGAAGTAAGAGGCAGAAGCGGAGGCAGAATTGGCTGGGTGAATAATTAGGAGGAGAAATAGGAAGCACGGTGTAGTCCTGTCCTGTGGTCTGGCATTATTTCCTGTCAAAAGAGAGAGTGCAAGTTCCTTAAAGGTGGCCCCTTTGTGCTTCGAGGGTAAGGTGGGCAGGTGTGCTGGACAGCAGCCTGGACTGTGTCTGAGGAAAGTAGAGCAGCTTGGGGGCTGCTGGGCCTACCTCTCCAGAGTACTGCCCATGACTACTCCTGCCATCAGACAGGTGGTTCCTCCCCCAGCCCATCAAAGTCACAGCCTTCGTTATTCTTGTCTTCATTGTTGAAACTCCAGTTTTAATCTCAGCCCTTTTTCCCTAGCCTTTATAAATGGCATGAATTCATCCAGAAAACTCAAGACAAGTTTTAGAAATGTGAAGAGCACCCCCAGGCTGTTGTTTTTAGATGTCAATTCTGACAAAGTCTATGCGAAGCCAAAAGCATCTTTAAAAAGTGACATGAAAAACTTCAGACAGAAAGTGAAAGACCCTTTGGCTCAGGCCAAGGGTATCAGGTGAGTCACTTGGAGAGCTTTGCAGAGTAAACGTGGTGGTATTGACATTCTTAGAATGATACATGAGATTATTGGCTGAGCTCTTAGTTTGTACCAAACACTATGTCAAGCACTTGTCTTACAGAAACAAACTAACCCACACAGTAGTCTCAGTAGGATTAGCATCCCCATCTTTACAGATAAGGAAACTGCAGCATGGAGAGTTTATGGGTCTTATTTGTCCAACATCCCACTGTTCCAGGGCAGAGCCCAAATTCACACCCAGATACATCTGACTCCAAACTGTGCTTTTGTTCACACTGATTAATGTTGTCTCATAAAATCAGGGAAGGGGTCATTGATTGACTGCTGTATACCAGGCATTTTACATAACCTATTTTAATTCTCATTGCACCTCTGAGTTTGATAGTATTGACCTCATTTTACACATGAGGAAACAGTGTCCAAGATTAGGTCAAAAAAGTAGGAACAGATTCTAAGAAAGGAAGGCTCTTTGGGCAGTTACTTGAAAGATATTAACCTACAAGGCCCATGGAAATGCTCTGCTAAGAGACACAGTAATAGTGTGGAAAGAGCACTGGAGCTAGAAAACCCATGTGAGTACTCACTCTACTTTACTGGCCATGTCCGGGGTCAGCTTGAAGTAGGGACAGGGTTCCTGCAGCCTTCACACTCAACTGCATACCCATGGAACCTAGGAGTTTGTAGGACACAGTTTGAAAACCAGTATGTTCTGTGATCTCCAGGGCCCCTTCCAGCCTTCCCATTTTATCATTCTGAAAGTTCATTTATTTCCAATTCATTTCTTAAAATTGCATTAAATTGTACAGCTTCTTTGAGGACAAAGCTCTGGCTTGGGAATAATCAGGATTATAACCAGAACATCTCTTTACAGGATGTCCATCAAAAGAATGACCAACCAAGTAACAAAAACAGAAACCAGCAACACAGTGGTACCACCCCAAAATTTACATTCAGTGTCACAGGAATGTATGTGTGACCAGACACTAGATACCACTAGCGAGATCGATCCACTCACGTCCAGTATTCTTCCCGATTGCCAAAAACAGCATCCGAAAGGTTCCACAACATTCCACCAAAGTCCCCAGACAGAAGTAGAAAAATCTGATTCTGCTTGACCAGGTGAGGCTTGATCCCATCTTCACTTCGTTTGCCAGGCAGTTGACCTTGAACAATCCTGCTTCCTGCTGTTTCAGAACCATCTTGGCACCATGTAACTTAGGAGGTGAGGGAGAAGACAGTGGTGGGTCTAAAAGCTACACTGGTGTCAAAGAGTCTTCCATGAAGTTAGTTTTTAGAGAGTAAATTAAATGACATGATTCTAATTTTAATGTCCTGCATTTCCTGCCGGATAATACAAAGTAGGTTCTTGTCACAGCCCAGACCCCTCAGCTTCCTCTGAGCTCCTGATGCATCGACTGCTGTACAGCATACACATTATCATTTAGGGCAGAGAGTTTATGAGGTCTATGGAATTTGCCTCTCAGCCTGTGTCTCCAAAACCAAAAGACCTTTGTTTTTCTTTCCTTGAGAAGCTCTCTTTGAAATTCAGAGGCAGCATAGGCTTGTTTGGGGTTAGGGATGCGGAGAACATTTATAAGAGCACCGGTATGTCAGCAACTCCAGGGGGGCTACTGAGGGTCCCTGACCCACCTCGAAGAAGGGAAGGAAGGCCAGACAGGGCCCAGTTGCTGTGAGACCAGCATCTTCTCTACTAATCTTTTTTTTTTCTTTTTCTCTCTGGTCAGATATGTGAACCTTGTGCAGCCTAGAAGAGAATTTATCCTGCACTCTGGATTTCAGCTTCCAGGCCCATCTCCCCAAATTTCTCTGCCTTAGACTTAAACCAGGCAAAGAAAATAAATATCCAAAAAACGAAAACACCAAAAAGTCATTTTAACAGATCTCAGAAAATGCTCACTCAAGTCATCTTTACACTTGCCCACAAGGAAGGGTTCTGAGTAGAGTTGTGCTGTTTTCCTGTAAAAATCTCCATTGTCTCTCGTTGTTGTATTTTCCTGCCAACAAGTGTTTGAGTGTGCATTGAAGGAGTGTTTATAAAATAGTAATTCTTGAACTTCTAACAGAATCTCTACTGAAAGAATAATTTTCTCTCAGTACATATTTGAGATCTTAATGTTTATTCTGTTTAACATTACATCAATTTAGATCTTGTAGTGAACTTAATAGGTTATATGAGGGACTCAAGATTGCTCGCAAGAGCTGTTGGATTGTTTCTAATATACCAACACCAAAGGTTGCAGCATAGAGTAAAGCATATGTTACCATTATGTTTATTTTTAACTCTGCCAGCTGAGTACACAGGCACTGTTACCCCCAAATACTGGGAATCCTAGAAAGTGTGAACTTGAAATAGTTAGCATCTTTTGTGCTCTTGTCAGTATTTCCTTTTGGAGTACATACTGGGGTTTATCTACAAAAACGTATTATTTTTATTGTGTACATAAGGCAGTATTTTGCTGTTCTCTGGTGGGGTATGTTTAATTCCTCTAAATGTTTACTGTGTATAATCTTTTTCTGTTTGTGCCCTCCAGTCCTTCCCTTCAGTATACACCCAGGCTTGGGATATGGAACCAAAATTTGCTTGCCTTTTTCTAGCCACTGGCTGCGAGTACAGGAGCAGTTGTTATTCCTCAGTCCTTGTGATAGATGGGCACACAGACATACCCATGTGCAGACATGCGCGCACATACAGGGTATATGTTTGCTGAATTGCATTGAATCCTGGTTAAACCATTGACTAAAACTTGAATGCAAATTAGTTGTCCTAATGCTAGTGAGTTTTCTGGTGAGTCACAAATAGTTTGAAGCACACCCACGTTCCATTCCAGTCACCAGCCTTGAATTAGTAAAAGGAAGTAATTATCCTTTCTCGTCCCTTAGCTCTGTGCTATTTAGAGTACTATAACTTTGTTACAGGTTAGAGCTTGGTGCCTTAGATTTTACAACTATTTTTAATGCTAGTTCTTTCATATAGAAGGCAGACAATCATCCTAAAACATTTTTGATATTTTTCTGCACAAATGTCACCTGTTGAAACACTCTGTTATACCTCCATATAAATGTGTGCTCTGTGAAATAAACTTTGCAGATAAAGCCAAATTTTCTTTCCATTATAATAACACAATATACTGGCGGTTGTATTGAGGTGACACCAATTGTTAACTGAACCATGAACACAGGCGACCAGCAAGTTCAATCAGCAATGGAATCTTACGATGCTCTTCCTCAGCTAGTCGGTGATTTGGCCGAGTTCCACTTGTGGGACAGTAAGATGTGAATTTCAAAACTCTGGTCCTCCTGCACCTGTTTCAGTGCTTGTTACTCTTCCCCATGATGGTTCTGACTTACACTTGAGGCCAGTGATTCAAGTACCTTTCTTTTTACTGTGGTGAAATTCACATAAGTCACCATTCAGTGGCATTTAGTACTTTCATAGTATTGCACAGCCATCACCACCATTCATCTCTTGTTCCAGAACATTGTCATCACTCTGCAAAGAAATCCCAGACCCTTTACAGTCACTCCCCATTCCTCCTCCCCTAGCCCTTAGAAACCTCACGTTTGATGCTTGTGATGGTTGAGGAAAACACATTAGCTTTTTAAGTCTGAGTGTCCTCAGGCAGTGCTGATACTGTTATATACCCATCTCTTCATGATATCACTCACTGTGATTGGTGAAACCAATGTTCTGATTTGCCTATAAAGCTTTAGTTTCCAATCTTGAAACGTTCTACAACACTAGTTACTGTTTTTGATAAGGTGAGGTCCCCTGGCACACACACAACTTGAAATGCGTTCGTAGCACCCTGTTTACAGCTGTAAAGTGATGGACACTGATCTAGATTCCCCCTCTTGCTGGGGACTGGTGCTCTTGAACCTGTTAGGGGGACACATTGGTTGCCTCCAGCTTCCCATTCTCTCTGAGTAGCCTCTTGGTATCCTCTGCCCTGAGGTTCCTGGCCTTAAAGTAGGTTCTGAGGATGAGCATATTTCCTCCACCTGTGTCATGAACACTGGAATGAAGCCTTTTAAAGGCTCCAATCCCTGGCAGCCACAGAAGCGCAGTATGGAATAATGTAAGGGACACTAGCCAGGGATCAGAAGACCTGAATCTTAACCAAGGTGGCTGTGTGTGTGTGCACATTATAGCCATGTGATTGCACATGTTATATATGGCCCCTCTGAGCCTTCTTATCTGGCAAGAGGGGGGCTGCAGTAAAATCTCTGAGGACCCTTTCATTCTCGTTCTGAGGAGTCACAAAATCATTATGGCAACAGCTGGAGGATTGGGAGTAACAAAACAGTGGCTAGTGTCAAGAAGCAAAAGCCTAGAGGCATACTTTCACATTTTATCAGGTCAATTCCCTGTGTCTCTTTCAGTGCCCCCCACCAGGTCTGGTTGGTTGAAGCAGGCCCCCAAAAGGCTGCCTTGTCCTTGGTCTCCCCACCAATCCAGTGCCAGTGTTTCCAGAAGTATGTGTCTAATAATTTCCCCAACTGTGTTATAATAACTAGTTAAGTTTGCATATGCTATATGCCAGGTACTTTATAGGCATCACTTTAAACCTTCACAGCAATCCATATGCAGTGTGGGTATTCGTTGTTACCTAGGAGGACACAGATTTGTGGAAACTGGCATTTGTTCAAGGTCACTCAACTAGAAAGAGGCAGAACTGATTAAAACCCAAGTCTGATTCTAAAGGCAACACCCCATCCCATACTGCTTGGGGAGTGGGAACAGTCCTGGGGCTTGCATGGTAGTTACTATGCTGTCTTTGGTGATGGAGATAAAATAATTGCTAAGGTTTATTGAGTCCTTTTACTGGTTGTCAGTCATCCTGCTGAGCACTTGTATTATTGTGAAATCTGCATGTGATTCTGCAAGGTAGGAATTCAAAGTCTCATTTACAGGCAAGGAAAAAAGCTCAGGATAAGTAACTGGCCCAAGGGCTCATACCTTGAAAATGGCAGGGATACCAGGGTGGTCAGGATTTGAACCCCTTCCATGGGGCTTCAGAACCTACTCTGTTAACCACAAGTAGATCCGTTCTTTTAAAAAAAATGTTTTTATTGATTTCAGAGAGAGGAAGGGAGAGGGAGAGAGAGAGAAACATCAATGATGAGAGAGTCACTGATTGGCTGCCTCCTGCACACCCCCTGCTAGGGATCAAGCCAGCAACCCGGGCATGTGCCCTGACCAGGAATCAAACCGGTGACCTCTTGGTTTCTGGGTTGATGCTGAACTGCCGAGCCACAGTGGCCGGGTTTCACTGTCTTCTTTAACTTCCGTTATAGCTCCCTTACATTCTTTTCCTCAGGCACACCATGCCCTATTTATTGCTGCCCATCCCCTGAAACCTGTGCCTAAATCTGTGTCTGCTTTGTCACTGGTTCAGTGAAAGTCCTATCAGAGTGCCTGCTAAAACTCAGTAACATTTAAACCCAGTAGATTAACTGCAAAAGAACCAAGCCTACTGAAGCAAAGGCTAAAAAGCACAAGTATATATGCTCTTTCCCCTAAAAACTGACCACATTACCTACTATAACAGTAAAGCTCACTGCTATCTCTGGCTATATATAATCCATACTCAGTGTTATAAAATAAAATGTTAAGCCAGTAAGCTTTCACAATTTTTAATAAATCCTAGTCTAATTTAATATCTGATTTTATAGACATCTTACAGTGAACATGTTTGATAAGTGAAAGCAAATCAAACAAAGTTATTTTCTGCAGACTAAGCAATACGGTAACTACTACACAGAATACTACAGGTCATGATGATATACACACACTCGCTCAGAGTTTTCATACAACAACCTGTGTTGTTTATCCAACTGTATCTCCTAATATTTAATACAGTAGGATTTGTGATTGTAGTTCTCATGTTTTAATTACAAGTGCCTTATTGAGATAACATTTTGACAGTTTCACTGACTACGCAAATTAGCATAATACATTCAAGAAAAAGAGCAAGAAGTGTTCTTACAAATTGTTCTACAATCCAAATATACAATAGCTTGGAAAACAACATTTAAAAAACAAAAGACAATGTAAAAAGACAGATTAAAGTAACTAGAACAGTGCAAGTTTTATTTGGTTCTGATTTTACAATTTTCTTACTGCATCATCAATGTCAGCAATTTGCACCTTCAGCAGGCTCCATTGCTCAGGGGTTAAGGAAATACCCTTTCTTCCTGGCTTCATTTCACCTTCTGAATCCATCCAAAATTCTCTAATATCAATCAGGACTTTTCCTTTAAAGTCCCGAATGCTGACGTACCTCATCTTCCCAATCTGAAACATGTTTTCTCCGCAGCTGCTGCTGGCCTTGGAAGATGGCATGGCTCTTGAAGTTTCATCAGTCTTTTGCTTCTTTACAGGGTTTTCAGAAGTAACTTGCTTTATCTTCTTTAACACTGTGCCAACTTCACTGTCAGATTCGCTGCCAGAAGAGATGGTAACCAGTTCTTTTAATTTAGGCATTGCTTGCTCCTGCTCTGAAACAGCCCTTTGCTTGCTGGCTTGCTCGCTTATGACTCAAGTAGATATGTTCTTGATATCCTGCTCCCCTTAAGTATGAGGGAGAATAGGTTTTTCTCCTGAAAATTTGGTAACTAAAATGTCCCTCCCTTCCTTCTGAGTCTTATGCCTGTCAATGTGCACCAATGTCATTGTGATGTCAGACACTGTCCCTGCCCTAAGGGGGCTCACCGTTTCTATGGCAATGCAGTATCATAATGGATAGGCTACAGGTTTGTGTCCAGGGTGGTGATCTGTGACTTACTAGCTGTGTGACCTTAGGCAAAGCAAATAACCTCTCTGAACTTCAGTTTTCTTATCTGGAAGATGGGGGCATGAGTGCCAGTGTTGGCTGTGAGGGTCCAATATAATGTGTATAAGGTGCTTATAGTGGAACCTTGGTTCTCAAACCTAATTTGTTCGAGAAAGCTTTTCGAGAAGCAAATTGTTGGAAACCCAAATCATGTTTTTCCCATTAGAAATTATGTAAATGGAATTAATCTGTTCCAGACTCCCAAATGATTCTGTTTTAACCTTTGTTATATATGGTATGTGTCTAATGTACTGTTTAATCTATAAACAAACACTTTAAAAAGAAAAAGGACATGAAATGTAAATGAAAATTTATCAAAAATGAAATGTGCAGTAAAAAATGAAAATTTACATACACACTAGGACTTACCATTAATATTGAGAGCAACAAAAGGAAAAAACACAAAAATATTCACAACACAATTTCCTGAGATGATAACGTGAGGTTTTGCAGTAAACCAACTCATACTCACTCATTCCCTCCTTTGTCCCCTGAGAAACACCTGACTTATAATACAGGTATCAGCATGAAAGGGTTGTTGGCTTGAGAACCCAAGTTTTTAAAAAATTTATCTTTATTGAAAGTATTACAGATGTCCCCCTTTTTCCCTCATTGACCCTCGCCACCCCTATCCACTCCCCCAGGCCTTCACCACACTATTGTCTGTGTCCATGGGTTATGTATATATGCATATAAATTCTTGGTTAATCTCTCCCCACCCACTCCCCCACCCTCGCCTTCCCTCTGAGATCCATCAGTCTGTTCCATGCTTCTGTCTCTCTGAACCAATTTTGTTCTTCAGTTTATTTTGTTCATTAGATTCCACATATAAGTGAAATCCTGTGATATTTGTCTTTCTCTGGCTTATTTCACTTGCATAATACTCTCCAGGTCCATCCATACTGTCCCAAAGGGTACGAGGTCCTTTTTTACAGCTCCATAGTATTCCACAGTGTAAATGTCCCACAGCTTTTTTATCCACTCGTCTACTGATGGGCACTTGGGCTGTTTCCAGATCTTAGCTATTGTAAATTGTGCTGCTATGAACATAGGGGCACATATATTCTGATTACACGGTGTTTTGGGTTTCTTAGGATATATTCCTAGAAGTGGGATCACTGGGTCAAATTGCAGTTTTGTTTAACAACCAAGACTTTTTTTATGAACTTGCTTGAGAACCAAATTGAGATGGGAGATGTTTGAGAACCAAGGTTTGAATACTTCTAAAGATGCTCGAGTGTTAAGAGTAGGCATCCTGTGGCAAGCAATAGTCGGAGGCTGACACCCATGAGTTTGTTTCCTGGGCGAGGAAGGTGGTGGAGGAAGTCTGTTAGGAACGTGGAGGAAGTGGTGGAGTGGTGGTACAGGGCTGAGGGCCTGGCAGAAGCTTATACAGTACTGGTGGCTACAGTCTGTAATTGTGTGGCTTTTCTCAGCAGAGGTCTTTGGCCCTGGTGTGGGCTGGAGTTTTGCAGGCCAAGTGAAAAAGCAAGGCAAATAGGTAACAGGACTGAGGGGGGAATGAAAATGATTGAAGTGAGAGCATAGAATCTAGGGCAGATACAGAGGGAAGTAAGGGTTGGGAGGAACTGAGAGAATAACCTGGACCAGTCAGTGGACCGGAAGGCAAAGAATGAGCTCAGTGAGAATAAGTATGGCCAGGAAAAATGCAGTTCCACGGCAGGTGAGCATGGATGCTGCAAAGGTCCAGGGTTTGCGAAAGTGGAGCAAGCGGAGGAGGAGGAGGGTACTGGAAATGTGTCGTGGTCTCTTCCTATGAAGAAGAGTACATAAGCCAGTGCCCAAGTCTTGAGTGAATGGGAGGGCTTGTCCCCTCCGGGCTCTATCCCTTGCCAGGGTTTCAGGAAGCAGAGGGGTGCCACCTGAATTCCCCACCCTACCCACTTCCTTGGGACCCCAGATGATGACCAGATACATTCTTTTCATTGTTTTAAGGGTCACTCATCTCTCCAGGGAAATGCAAGGGGATGTTCCCCATTCATAAAAATGCTCATGGTTTCTTGCTGACAGGCTCTGATTCCCTTCTAACATAGTAAATACTAGAACCCAAGGGGTTCTGCCCTTGGTTTTTATTGCCCTGGGCCTGAAGCTCATCAAAGACTACTGCCCTTTCCTCCCAACTCTACCTTTAGCTGAAATGTTTGACTACGTGCCCTTATGGCCTGGAGACCCATCATGTGGGAAGGCAGCAGACACCCCTCTCGCTGGCCCTCCAGTGCTGCCCTGCAATGACATCGGAGTGAGTAGGTTGAATGGCTGAAGAACATGGGACCCAGAGATGTGTAACAATGATCTAGAAGCTGCAACCTCTGTCAATCCCTAATACCCCTCACTGAAGCCCATGAGCCCAAATGAGTAGTCCCAAAAGAGCACTGTCCACAAGGGGGAGTAAGGTTCTCCTGAAGGCCCAACAGTGGAGAGCAGCAGCTGAGAACCAATGTTCAACATTGGCCTGGGACTCCAGAGGGCAGGGGGAAAGGGTAGCCAACAAAATAAGGATTATGATGATTACTCAATGACACGCTTCAGCTGCAGTTCTCTTCCCACCCCCATCCCCCTGGCCAAAGACAATCAATTTGCTCTTTTTAAGGGATGGCAACATCTGGGAAATGCTATTTTGGGTCAGAATAGTTTTTTGTTGTTTTCAACTGGATCCAAGTGATGTTATAGGTTTGTCTTGTTTGTAATTCCCATGTTTTGTGCAACCGCACTGGACTGAGTATGTCCTTAAAGAAAGGGAAAAAGTCATTCAGGTTTCAGGGTCAGTAGTATCACCTTCTAGCAATTCCACCAGGTGGAATAAAAAGATAGGAGGCAAGTTATTTATATGCTGCTTTATTTCTGTAAGAATACACTGAAACATTAGATGATATTAGCTAATGACAAAATGTAGAAATGAGGCATCAGCTCCTCTAACCACGGCTACGAGAATGTTAATATGTGTTGTCATTACATGTTCACTTTGACATCATCTCATTCTACTATGTAATATAACAATGTAGCTAGAATACAGTAAGTAGGTGATCCAGCATCTCAGGTGAGCACTACATGGAAACCTGCCTGTGAGGACGGTGACTTCCTCACCCCCCAGAGATACAGCTGAGCTCTTGAGGAACAGTCCAAAGAATTACAAGAGAAGGGACACTGGCAGGCCTCTTTAACACAGGGACAAAGCAGACAACCACTATGTTACAGGGGATTCAACTCGCCACTGTTTGTGTCACATCTATGTCAATGCCAGTCCTGGAGCCTGCTTAGCTACCCCTCTAGAGTTTTATGTAGGATGATGTCAAAACTGCAGGAACGTTTAGGGGCTAAAATATTTTCATGCAAGTCTCCAAACTCATAATCTATGTTGCTATTAATGAAAACAAAACATTAGTAATTTAAAAAACACGGCAGCTGGGTTAGTTTTGTTCAGCTTCCAGAAGTATTCTCTGTGACGATGTTCCTCTGAAACAGGCTCGTTCTCTCAGATCTGCCTACACTTGTCATATCACCTGCATGTCCCACACTTGGAGGCAGGGACTTTCAGAAAACATGGCACGCAGGGAACTCAAAGGTTAGTACAGGGGAAAGGTCAGCTTAGAATCACAGCTAAGTTCAAATGTTAATTTTCTAGAAATTCGCATTAGTCCATCAAAAGCACAAAAGAACAGAAGGAAGGTTTTGATGAGAAAGTTAAACCATGCATTTCGATAAGTTTTCTTTCTGCTCACAGAACACAGGGTGAGCAGCGAGTTGGAGCAGCCGCTCCAACTCTTGTGTCGTATGATGACACGGTGGGTCCCAGCTGAGTGACGAAGGGCATCTCAGTGGGAGCTTTATCTCTTAGGCTTCTTGCTCACATCACTAAGCAGCTAAATGGTTAGCACTTTTCTGCTCTATGATAAACATGCAGAAGAGTCAATCTATCTAAGTGTTCGTTTTTTAACTGCAGCCATCGCAAAATTCACTTCGCTGCGGAGTTGGTTTTGCTAAATCCTAGAATGATCGCTGTGTGCCCTTGAGTAATACTGTAAAATGGGAAAAAAGACAGGAACAATTTTGAAGAGGTGAAAGACCACTCTCCCCCTATGGATGGTGCAGGGCAGAGGGTGAGGACACAAAGAAAAGACTCAATGCCATTTTACAGGACAGGAGCCCCTGTCACTTTACAGCTTTTTGGCACAGTCGGGGCAATACACTTGCTCCTGATGGAAAACAAAGCGCTTGTTGGCCAGATTCACGGAGCATTTTTTGCAGTGGAAGCAGTAGTCGTGCCAGGATTGTCCTTCATAGGCCACCACACTGGAGCCTTTACCAAACCCTGTGGAAAACACAAAAGAGAACAAAAGAGACAGCTCAGTGAATACAGGTAAGAGGTACATCGCTGCCTTGCCCATTTACAGAGCCAACAAGCACGCAGGGGCAGGGTCTGCCCGGCTCCCAGGCCACCCCTCCACCATGATCTGTCCCCTACGCCATGCCGCCGTGACCCTGCTACAGCTCTCAAGGACCTGAGAAGATGCCAGAGCTCAGCCAAGGGCTTCTCTGATTTAAAGAACCCCCATTCCCACGCCACTGCAATCGCCCTGTAACACTTGCACCGACCTCCCAGCATAACCAGTTTCTTTGATTTATGTCAGGGCCATGGCATCAAAGTGGCCACCAGGAGGCAAACTTGGGCTGTTCGTGGGGTGTGCACTTACCGGGCCTCGAGGAGCTGCTAAGCTTCGATTTTTTCTATAAAGAACCACCACCCACGAGGGACAAGTCCTCTCTCCACCCGGATGCCTGCCCCGGAGGTTGGCGCTGGGAAACAGGGTGAGAGGCAAGCGTTTCCCGTGGCACACTGGGGGCTTCCTAGCTTTAGAGACTGGGTGGCTCACTCTTGACACAGTCCTTTTCCCTGAGGATGGCAAAAGTCTTCTCAAATGTACATTTCAAGGCTCCCCGGGGAGATGGGAACAGTGGAGGTGGGGAAAGGGCCCAGGGCACGTGGACCGCGGCCGCGAGATGAGGAATGAAGTGATTAGCTCAGCTTCTG